TGAAGTATATCAAGTCTCTTCCTTAAAGTCTGTTATTTTTTAGTTGTATCGATTGTTTTTAATCCATATCCTGTTACAAATAATCTTTTAAGCAAAACAAATGATCAGTGAAGGATGTTTTACTTGTCTGTTTTGCTCTGGTTTTCTTGAATCTTCTCTTGGTGATTTATACAAACTGCATTTTTTTTTTGTCTAGGATTGTCTATTCAGATCTCTGGTCCTTCGTCTTAATATTTTCTTCTTTAGTTCCCTGTTACTATTTTGTATTGTGCTCAGGAAAAGAATCATTGGAGCTTTTAAAAAGTGTATGAGATAAAATTAAAGTATATTCATCTTTATTTCGATCCTTTCAGACATGCTCTTTCACTACTTGTAAAGCTTAACAGAAAATTGGACACATTGTGAGGGCATGTCCAAACTCTCTTTAATCTCTATAAACATACATCAGTTACAAAGTGAACCAATTCAATCAAAACTGTAAATTAAACATTAGTTTACTCCTTCTCTCTTTATTCAGATGAATCCTGCCATCATCTTGTAAAAGAAGATTTGAAAATTTAGTTACTTGTTAAGTTATGAAAAAAGTTTCAGTATGTTGAGTGGGATACCTCAATGGAAAAAGCAGAACTTGCATAAGATTTTTTTCTACATATCTCTGGTATTTGCATGGTTTACTTAAAAATTGACCTAAACCATTATTTTTTAAAACATAGTTTTCTCTTATTGAGGCCTCCTCCCTTCATGGTATTATTATAACCTGACAGTTGTGAGTAGTCCAGTAGTGATTCTTTCTTACTGCCTACTATTGATTGATACCATTAGAGAACCTTTGTATGTACCATAAAAGTCTTTCATACCCCCACTTTTAATTTTGATCCAAACTTCATCAATCCATTCTCTATCCAGTAAAGTGATATTTTAAAATTGAAATCAGATTATTTCATTTTTTGCTTAAACTCTTCAATTATTTCTAGTTACCCTTGGAATAAAATCTAATGGTTTAAATGTGGTCCTAAATCTTCTATTTCTCCTGCTTTTCTTTTATGTCAGCCTTATTATCTTCCTTCATATCCTCTGAAAATTCCTTTTCTACAAAATTCTTTTCTCATCTTAGGCCTTAGCAGGTTGCATTTGCAAAAACATGGAAGTGTAAGAATAGATGGAAAATTCAGGAAAAGAAAAATGGTTCTTTATGAATGTGGCATAGAGACGTATCAGGAGTGGATACAAAGATTAGCCTGTGTTTGCCCATGTGCTACAGAGTATACCTGTGTTTATGTTTATGTAAGTAGGTGTGATAATATATGTATTTTATAAATAATATATGCATTATATATGCATTATTTAATGCATATATCATCATATTTTTAAAAAGATTTTATTTATTCATGAGAGACACAGAAAGAGAGGCAGAGACATAGACAGAGGGAGAAGCAGGCTCCCTATGGGAAGCCCAATGTGGGACCCCGGGATCACAACCTGAGCTGAAGGCAGATGTTCAACCACTGAGCCACCCAAGTGTCCCTATATCATCATTTTTTTGGTAAATCAAGATAAAGTGTATTAAATTCAAGTTAGCAAGCATCATCAAATGTTTCTTACAGTATAGGCCATATAAGTTATCTAACCTTTTCGAGCCTCAGATTTCTCATCTTAAAAAAAAATAATACCTACTTATAGGGTTGTTGTATTTGAGAGGTTATTTTTCTGTAAGGCACACTAAGCACTCAGCACATTGGAGCTACTTTGTGCACATCAGGGAGTTAACTGCAGTGAGGAATGTTAAACACAAAACACAGATTTTACTCCCAATGAGATTATAAGCTCTCTCAGAACAGAAATCTTTAAAGGGAAAAAGGGGTAAGTGCCTGTTAACCTACTCATTTTTTTAATATAATGACTAGAAATAGTAAAACTTTCTGGACTGAGAATTCTATTTCCCAAATGCAGACTCCTGCCATAAGGTCACTGAGGAAAGCTTTGATGGTGGGCATTGACCTCAAATATTTAAAGAGCTAAATTCACCATGTTTGTGTGGCCAGGACCTATTCCTCTTCAGGTTCAACCACTATACATCTCTCTCTTTGATTAAGCACATGTTACAATATTAACTAACATTTTCACTTGATTATCTTTTGCTAATAAACCTTCCAGGACTACTCCTAGCTATATCACTTAGGAGAACAGCTTAAAATTACTACACTACTTTAAAAGATATTATGACCAGGTCAGACCATTGTAATGCCTAATGGAAAATGAATATAGAAAACATCTGAGAAAATAAGTTACACAGTTTATGTGTCACTTTACAAATAGCTCAGAAGTTTAGACTTAAAAAAATAAGTTGAACCCTGTCCTCACAAAACTCATGAGGACAAAATTTTTTTTACCCAGCTGTTAATGCCTCTGGTAATTACTATAAATCCAACTTGTATTGTAATAGTCTAACATTCAAGGATTTTGTTTTGGCTGGTACCCATAATTGGAGAAAGGGTTTATTAAGAACAAATTCAACTTCAAAATGTTGAAGATCCACTTTATTTTTTTTTAAATTTTTATTTATTTATGATAGTCACACAGAGAGAGAGAGAGAGAGGCAGAGACATAGGCAGAGGGAGAAGCAGGCTCCATGCACCGGGAGCCCAACGTGGGATTCGATCCCGGGTCTCCAGGATCGCGCCCTGGGCCAAAGGCAGGCGCCAAACCGCTGTGCCACCCAGGGATCCCTGAAGATCCACTTTGATACTAACTGGGAAGGGCCTAGTACAGTAGAATACAGATATTGATCATGAGTTCATAAACTGAGTAACACATCCAATAATAATTTCTTCTTACAGAAAGATTATTATTTTTTGTTTTTTGATTTAGTTTATGCCAAACACAGGACTCAATCCAATAATTTTTCTATGGCACAGTTTTTCACGTGGAAATACAGAATGAATTTGATACTGGCAAAGTTCATTACATTTGTTGTGAAATGTAAGGTTTAAATCCTGGGTAGTAATTTCATGACAGCAGGCAAATAACTTGTTCACATGTCAGTTTACTTCTGGAGATGGTGGTAATGGTGCTTGTCATGATTTGATGAGATAATAGCTATAAATTGTGTGCGTTGCTCTAGCACATCGGGTTCCCCAGGAAGCTAACTCTGATTTTAAGATTAAGTTCATTAGGGAGTATTCGTAGGATAAACAGTATGGAAGGGAATTCACAAAATTGTGATTATAACAGAGGAAGTTGAGCAGAAATGCAGCCTTAGCCAATAAGCCTATCAATGGAAGCTTTAGCCAATCCATGGAGAGTTCTGTGGATAGGATGAATCTTCGGGAGAGTCTTGATTTTGGGTGAAAGGAATGGGTCTTTATATACCTTCATAGATCAGTCATTAGATGGAGGCCTTCTGGAATTGAGGAATAACCTTGCCCAGGGCTATTCTCTTAAAGTGAGGTAATTACTGAAGTAGGCCTGACAGACAGTTGGGAGCTGTCAACCAGCAGCAGTATATTATTACCTGGGGTAATAATCAGCCCATCCTTTCTGAGGAGATCTGGGTGGCACTTTAGTGTCTACCATAGTCACCAAATCATCTGTAAGTATTTAACAGTATATGTTATTATGAAACAGATTCTTTCGTATTTCAAAGAGATCTCAAAAGTTCTACTCTTCCTTTTTGTTGCAATTCAACTGTGCTGTTTTTCTACTGGAATTTGCTCCACTATATTTTGGTCAGAGAACCTACGAGATGTCTTGCATATCTCGTATCACTTGATTTTTGTAATAACTTGGTAAATTTTGTGTCATTTTCAGTTACTGTGAAGAAACTGATGTCAAAATGGAGTGCATAAGCTTTTTAATTTACATCTCCACTATATAGTGAAATAAGACTTTAACCCCAATCTTTTTTAATCTAAATCCCATGAGATATTTTATTTAGAACTTTGGTATGAGTGAACTTTGCTATAATTTATAGTTTATTCAAGATATTTTGACATTTTTTAATGCCATGAAGATTTCACTTCAGCATATGCTGTAGGCGACAATTGTTATATTAAGTTCTAGACCTTTTAATTTTTTATGTAATTTTATAAGTAGGTTAATTGCATGGATTTCATTTAATTATTAACATGTATATTTAATCCGGATAGATGGATAAGTAGATCTAGAATTTTCATGAACATCTAATAAGTATTCTTATGTATTATATGAAATATAATTTCTTACTACATAATTCACTTATTTTGATTTAGAAGCACAGGTGAACTGTTTAAAATGAGAAGTTACCTAACTATCCAATGCTAGTATCCAAAATAGAATAATCAGAAATATCACAAGATAGAATGTTATATGTACACATTAGGCAGTCTTCAAACAAATAAACTTTGTTTTCTTAGATGAACCAGATAGAGGAGCATAAGCAGTACACCATGAGAAGATGGTGGAGAATAGCTGGGATTTTGAAGTAGTTCATTTGTGTGCGTGAAGTACTTGGAATATTCAGTGAAGGGAGTGATGATCTAGGGACATAGCTCAATAACCAAGGGCTCAGAAAAGAGCCTTGGAGGTACAGAGAAAGTGAAAAGGAGACCCAACTGAAAAAAAGCACAATGTATCATGGGCATACAAATTTTGAAGCAGAGAGATAACAGGAATAGCTTTTATTTTGGCCTGTGATGAAGGATTGCAATAATATGAAGCATGTCGGGGTTGGCTATTTTAGAATGCTTCCAAAAGTGTTATTCTTAGCAGTTTAGTGGTAGAAGAGAAAAGCATCAGCCTCTAGGTCATGGGATCAGAGATTCCAACTTCATCACAATGAATTACTAGAAATTTCCCCCAGGTTATGGGACCAGGTTTTCAGACAGTTTTAGCCTCTGATCGTGATATGATCTTTTCTTCAAAATCTTTTGTCAGTGTGTCTTCAAGATATTTTAGAGCTAAAGTAGAATTTATTTCTTTGAGACTTGGCTGCCATAATAAGATGAATTATTTATTTATTTTCCTGTCAAACGGGTAATGTGCTGAGATCGTAACAAGGTTTAAGGGAGATACATGTCACACCATGGCCTGAACATCCAGTCATCACACTTACCAACTACAAAAGGATCAATAAGTTTAATTTTAAACAAGAATTCTTGGAGTGACAGGTTGTTCCCAATTATGCTCCCCCCGCCCCTTAGAACAACGACTAAGAACTATTCATGGACAAGGCAACACTGATAAAATCCTTTTCTGAGGTCAGAGCAAACCCCTGTACCACAGAAACCAAGACAGACTGAATTAGAAGGGTAAGAAAAGCAGCTATTCAGTAAACACATTGCCCCTCCCCCAGGCTGATGCAGCACCATACTGCGAGATCGCCCCTGACAATTCCTACAGTGGAAAAAGAGGGCCTAGGGTGGACATCTAGCTTCCCCATCATTGTGAGTCACTTGTTGGGAGTCCCTACTCTGGTCTCACCTCATGGGGATCAAAAGGGAATCTACAGGGACTGACCATTGAGAATCTGATTGTGATAGAGAAGGGGGAGGAGCTTGAAACAATCAATATTGGATTTGAGCCAGCCAAGTTCCTACCTGCCTTACACAAGTAGTAGTCTCAGCCAGTGCCTTTGTTCACCTGCAGGAGCCAAGATAGTGGTACAGTTTCACGGGGGAACTTAGTGGAATACAAATCTGCCTGATTCTGGTCCTGAGGAAAAGCAGCTTGAAAGCCTTGGAGGCTGGTCCCCAGGACTCCCACCCCCACCACCCACCCAGGCAGAGCAGTTTAGTTATAAGTCCACCTACTACTGAGTATAGTTCCTTGGCCATGCCCCACAAGAAAGTGCATGCAGAACACCTGGAAGCTCTGTAGCCTAGCAACACTTGAGCAGAGAGCCTGGCAGGCCAAACTGATTATCCACAGAGCAAAGCCAGTGGCCTTGTTGAGCCAGAGAACTTAGGGTTTGAGTTGGTTTGAATCAAAACCACAAATACTCTTGCTGTCCTTGGAGCTTGTTCTCCCACTGTCCAGACAGGGAAACTAATTCATAGCCCCACCCTTTGCTGTACACAGCCTTTAGCCATGTATGACCAGAGAACCTAACCACAACACACAAGAAGCAGAGTATGCCATCCAACAGTCCTGCTTATAGTGGCAGTTGAACAGAGAGCACAGCTGGTGGTTTTCTCTATCAGCAGCCCAAAAGCAGTGGCCCTGTTTTGCCAGGGAATTCAGTATATACTCTTGCCTGATTCAGGTCCCCAAACAATGAGCTGTGCTAGCCTTGGGGGCCTGTTTTCCTGCTAGAGGCAGGAGGCTAATTCACAGCCCCACCTAAATCTGAGTATGGTATCCAGACCTATCATTTAGGAAGCCTGACCAGAGAATCCAGGCAACCATGGAGCCCATCCTATTGTCTCACTTGGGCAGGGAACCAAGCCAGTAGTCCTGTCCAACTGTTCCAAGCCAGTGGCGCCTCCTTACCCCAGAGTTTGGGCAATGGCTTCACCCCAAAGTAGACTCTGATAGCAAGCTTTACCTGCCCAAGGACATTACCAGCTAACATACCAAGAAACTCAAACTGAGCTGAGTGGTAATTAATTGTCTCTGCTAAACACTAGGTTGGTTCCACATACATAGATCAAATGTAATACATCACATTAATGGAATGTAAGATAAAATTATATGATCACCTCAATAAATGTAGATTGAAGCATTTGACAAAATTCAGTATCCTTTCATGATAAAACTCTCAACAAATTGGTATAGAAGGAATAAACTTCAACATAATACGGGCCATATGTGAGAAGCCCACACTAACATAATATCCAGTGGTAAAAGGTTGAAAGCTTTCCTGCTATGATCATAGCAGGGTGCCCACTCTCACCACTCTTACTGGTAGTCCTAGCTGAAGCATTAGACAGGAAAAATAAATAAAAGGCATCCAAATCAAAGGAAGAAGTAAAATTATCTGTTTGTAGATGATATGATCTTACATATAGAAAATCATAAGAATTCACCAAAAAGAATTAAAACTAATCAATGAGTTCAGTAAAGTTGCAGGATATAAAATCACAAGCAGAAATCAGCTGTTATTTCAAAGTACCAACAACAAAATATCTAGAAAAGAAATAAAACAATCCTTTTCACAATAGCATCCAAAACAATAAAATACTTAGGAATAAATTTAACCAAGAAAGTGAGAGATTTGTAGAAGTAACACTTTGATGAAAACAATTAAAGAAGGCAAGAGTAAATGGGAAGATATCTCATGTTCATGGATCAGAAGAATTGATATTGTTTTTTATTTATTTATTTATTTATTTATTTATTTATTTATTTATTTATTTATTTATTTATGACAGTCACAGAGAGAGAGAGAGAGAGGCAGAGACACAGGCAGAGGGAGAAGCAGGCTCCATGCACCGGAAGCCTGACGTGGGATTTGATCCCGGGTCTCCAGGATCGCGCCCTGGGCCAAAGACCGGCGCTGAACCACTGCACCACCCAGGGATCCCAAGAATTGATATTGTTAAAATGTCTATTCTACACAAAGTCATCTATAGATTCAGTTGCAGTTCCTATCAAAATTTCAATGGCATTTTTCACAGAAGTAGAAAGATTTCCTTACAATTTGATTCCAATGGGATTTTTGTCCAAAATAGAAAGGTTTTTTTTTTTTTTAATTCGTATGGAACAACAAAAGACCGTAAATGACCAAAGTAATCCTGCAAAAGAACAAAGCTGGTGACATCACAATTTTTTTTGACATCACAATTTCTGATCTCAAACTATATTACAAATGTATAGTAATCAAAACAGTATGGTACTGGCATTAAAAAAAAGACACGCATTCCAATGGAACAGAATTGAGAGCCCCAAAATAAACTATGGTCAACAAATATTTGACAAGGGAGGCAAGGATACCCAATGGGGAAATGATAGTTTCTTCAATAAACAGTGCTGGGAAAATTGGACAATCACCTGCATAATAGTGAAATTAGACCTCTCTTTTACACCTCTCACAAAAACTAACTCAAATTGGATTAAAGACTTAAACATAATACCTGGAACTGTAAAACTCCTAGAGGAAAACACAGAGCAAAAGCACATTGACATCTATTTTGGCAATGAATCTTTGGATATGAACCAAAAGCACAAGCAAGAAAAAATAAATAAGTAGAACTACATCAAACTAAAAGCTTCTGAATAGCAAAAGAAACAATTAACAAAATGTAAAAGTGGCTTTTGGAATGAGAGGAAAATATTTCCAAAACATCTACCGAGTAAAGGGTTAATGTCTAAAATATTTAAGGGACTTAACAACTCAATAACCAAAACAAACATTCTAAAAATGGAGGAGGGGAGGGGAGGCAAAGCACCTGAATAGATTTTTTTCTTTTTTCCTTAAAGGCCAAATTCCCTTATGAGGTTTTTTTTTTTAAGTTATTTATTTGTTTGTTTATTTATTTATTTATTTATTTATTTATTTATTAGAGAGAGGCAGAGACATAGGCAGAGGGAGAAGCAGGCTCCATGCAGGGAGCCTGACGTGGGACTCGATTCCAAGTCTCCAGGCCAAAGGCAGCGCTAAACCGCTCAGCCACCGGGGCTGCCCTGAATAGATTTTTTTTCTAAGAAGACATACAAATGGCCACCAACAGATATGTGAAAAGGTGCTCAACATCGTTTAATCATCAGGGAAATGCGAATCAAAATCACAAAGAAGTATCACCTCACATCTGCTAGAATGGCTGTTATCAAAAATATAAAAGATAACAAATGTTGGAAAGGATATAAAGGAAAGTGAACACTTACGCATTAGTTGGTGGGAATGTAAATTGATGTAGCCACTATTGAAAACAATACTTAAGTTCCTCAAAAAAATTTTTTTTAATTTTATTTATTTATTTATGAAAGACCCTGAGAGAGGCAGAGACATAGGCAGAGGGAGAAGCAGGCTCCATGCAGGGAGCCCGATATGGGACTCAATTCTGGGACCCCGGGACCACACCCTGAGCTGAAGGAAGACTCTCCACTGCTCAGCTACCCACCCAATTTTAGTTCCTCAAAAAATTGAAAATAGAATTACCATATGACCCAGCAGTCTCACTTCTGGTTTATATCCAAAAGAAATAAAATAAGGACCTTAAAAAGATATATGCACCTCCTTAAATGAATGTCTATTTAAGTATTATTCACAATAGCCAAGATATGGAAACAACCTAACTATTCATCTATAGATGAAATGATAAAGGAGTGTGTTTAGCCATGAGAAAAAGGAAATCTTGCTATTTGTAACAATATGGATAGACCTTTAGGGCATTATGCTAAATAAGTTAGAGAAAGGCATGGGATGCCTGGGTGGCTCAGTGGTTGAGCATCTGCCTTTGGCTCAGGGCGTGATCCCTGAGGCCTGGGATCGAGTCCTACGTCGGGCTCCCTGCATGGAGCCTGCTTCTCCCTCTGCCTATGTCTCTGCCTCTCTCTCTCTCTCTGTGTCTCTCATGAATAGATAAATAAAATCTTTAAAAAAATAAGTTAGGGAAAGACAAGTACTATATGATCTCACTTATGTGTGGAATCTAAAAAAACTGAAATCAAAGAAACAGAGTAGAATGGATATTGCTGGGGGTTGGGGGATGGAAGAAGTAGGGAGATGTTGATCAAAGGATACAAACTTCCAGCTATAAGATTAATAAATTTGAGGTATCTAATGTACAACATTGTGACTATAGTTAGCAATACTGTATTATGTTCTTGGGAGTTGCCATAAGACTAGATTTTAAATGTGTTCACCGGAAAATGAAATGGTGGTTCTGTGATGGAGGTGCTAACCAACCCCACTGTGGTAATCATTTTTTTTTGTTTTGTTTTGTTTTTTTTTGTGGTAATCATTTTGAAGTACATAAGATAAGTATCAAATCATCGCATTGTACATCTTAATCTTATACCATGTTATATATTAATGATATCTCAGTAATGCTGGAAAACAAATGACTAAAATTCTTTGCTTCCCAAAAGGCCAGTCTTCAATTAGATAAGGACTTGTGCTAGAACAAAGCTCAATATGCTACTTCTTTAAGAAAGTTGTACTGTGAAAAATGAGAAGTTAGCCAAATA